CTCAATATTAACCCTCAAGTTGCTAAGTACAGGGGAGTCCAGGAGAGCTCAGGGAACAGGCCAGAGCAGGCTACATGGCAAGGCACCTTTGAAGGGCATGGGACAGGGCTATTAACCATCAAGCAGAGGGACCAACTACCTGTATAATCCTGTCAGAAGGAGAAAGTGCCAAGGCCCTTCTTGTGCCGGTAACTTAGTGCAGCCAGCCTAGGCATGCTGAGTGAACATGACTGATCCAGCGGCGGTCTTCTGATGCCCAACGATGGTTCAAGCCAAGGAAGAACTTCAGTAGCAGGTGAGACATGGTGGCCATCACAGGAACATGTGAGACACAGTGGCAGTGTCGAAGGCTCTGTGGTAGAAAAAAAATACTAAGATGGAGACAAAAAGTGCCAGAGTCCAGGGAGAGCACACGCTGGGCTGAGTGAACAGGAAGCAGGAGGGCTGCTTGGGAGGTGCTCACATTTGTGCTGAATAAAAGACCTGTGGCCCCTGATGCTGAGGGTCAAACAAGCAATATTGTTGCCATCTGCACAGAGCTCATGGGTACAGTCACCAGAGGGCTCCAGACTTGGGTGGGAGGATCCAGAGAAGCTGGATTAACTGTGATCCTGAGGAAGAGGGAGGCTAGAGGTTGACATTCAGACAGAAAGATCGAGGTGGAGGATGTGAGTTCACACTGGGCTCCATGTTAGGTGTGTGAGGGCATCTGGGCTGGGCTGGGCTGGGTGTGGGAGGACTCTGTCACAACTCCATGAGTGACCACGGAAGAGGTCTCATAGACCTATAGAATAAAGTGGGCTTCCCACGCTTAGCATTCAAAGCCCTTCACAATTTATCTCTAGCTTGCTTTTCTATCATCTCCAAAAAACTGAAGTTGTGGAGAACGGGGGTGGGCATGGGGGTGGGGTGAGCAGGAGATAGCCCATGAGATACCTAGAAGGAGCAAGAAAGTTAATGCAGGGGCTGGGGAGATGGTTCGGTAGTCAAGAGCACTGGATGCTATTCCAGAGGATCAAGGTCTGGTTCCCAACACCCCATGGCAACTCCCAACCTTCCTAACTCCAGTTCTAGGGGATACAATGCTCTCTTTTGGCCTTCACAGACATTGTTCACACATGGTACCCAGACATGCATGCGATCAAAACACTAACACACATAAAATGAAAAAAAAAACATGAAAGAAAGAAAGAAAGAAAGAAAGAAAGAAAGGAAGGAAGGAAGGAAGGAAGGAAGGAAGGAAGGAAGGAAGGAAGAAAGAAAGCCAATGCATACATTACACAGCAGTGCAGGACTTGAACCATAGCGTATACCTGGCAACTGTAATGATGGCTTCCCCTGCCAGGTGCAGTTGGGCAATTGAACAATGTTCTCCGTCACCCCACGCTGTGCTCCCAGGAGGTAATGTTTACCCTAGGGGATTCCGTTTGTTCAATCTCTGAAGCCCCTGTAGGGCCTAGCAGTGCCTGTGAGGCTTTGTGGGGATTAACTGAGATTATGATTAGCATGATCAGCTCAGTATTCAGCAAGGATTTTGTGTTCAATAACTGTTTGGTGTCACGGTGCCGCTATTATCCCTGGTGTTAATGATGTCTGAACTTCAACCCTTCCTGAGGAAAATTCCCTTTCATGTCAAGCCTCTTTTCCTAAAGCCTGCTAACCATGCAGCGTGCCATCCTTCCACATTTCTCCTCAGTCTGTGCGCATTCTCTGGCTTCCTGTCAGGTAGTTTAATATCTTTCCAGGCTCCAAACCCCTCTTCAATTCCCACATTCTCCACAGATCCTTCCCTGCCTTCCTCGTTTGCATCTCCCGAGCACTGGTAGTCAGCATAACTCACTTGACAATTAATCAAGACAAGCCTGTCACAGCTCCCTTGCTGCAGTGAAACCGACTGTGTGAAATTATCCGTATGCCTTCCTTGCTGCTTGCAAGCTTGCAACTCTCAGTTCTTGGGGCTGAGGTACCACAGCACCAACCCAGCACCCACACCTAGAGAGATGCACACCAGATATGGTAGAGACCAGAGGGAAGGCACCTTTGGATAGTCCTGGGAGAGTAATGAAGACGCATGCAAGGAACACGTACACACATGTGTGCACACATGCATGAACTCGAGTGTGTGTACACACACACACACACCTCACCCCAGTCCGTTAGGTGTGGAGTCTGAGTAAGTGACTCCTCCCTTAAGCCATTCATTTTCCAAGTTGTTCCAGAACAAAACAAAGCCTCCTGTTGAGCCCTGGAGACCAGACACTGCATCCCTGGGGATGCTCAATGTCTTGGTAATCTAGGACACAGTCTTACTTCAAGACTTGTTTGGACTTTGAAAAAAAAAAAAAACTCTTATCCCACACTCTGAGACCTTCTGTCTCATCTGGGACTCTAGGAATCAAACAAACATTTACTGACCCTTGCTAAAATATAGAGAGGACAGCGGACCAAGATAAGTAAGTTCTGGAACACCACCTGAAGAGGCTCAGGGTTTTCAAGCAAGACACCTCACAATAGCACAAAGCCAGGCACCCACCCAGGGGCACAGAGGAGGTGGGCCCCGCCTCTTTCACTCATAAATCCTTCCTCACCTCTAAGACTCCACTAGTCCCAGATCTCCCGGAATCTCTTCTGGATTCTTCAGTCACAGGACTCAGTCCTAGTTCAAACCAGTGAGTCTTATCCACTTCATACCACGTCACAGATTATTGAGTGAGATGCTGCCAAAAATAGCACCAAGTTTTGCTTCTAATTTCATAAGATGCCAAAGTGATTGTGCACAGGGAAGTATCACCAGAATGGTCAATTTCAAATATGTATGTTCAACACATGAGCACATGAGCCATATAGATTACATCATTGTGAATAAGTGGTATAAATAAAAGCGTAAGATCTATTTGAATTAACACGGAGAATATTGAACTTGTCTTTTGTGAAATATATGGACCTTGGGGACTAAGGAGATGGCTCAGCAGTTAAGAATGCTTGCTGCTCTGTTTCCCCAGATCCAATCCCCCAGCCTCATCCCTATCTCTGCAACAGAACACTTGCTGCAGCCTTCCTTCCCCCTCTGCCCACCTCTCCTGTGGCACCCACAGAGCTTCCTCTTCTAACCTCCCCCTCCCAGCTTGTTGCTTTATCCCAGCCCCCCCCCACTCAGGCAGGCACTCCCTGCTGACCCACAGACCACTCCTTCAAGGGAAGTAGGTAGGCTGCCTGTAGACTCTCCTCTCCTCCTGCTCCTCTAGATCCAACCCCCAAGTCTCATCCCCAGTTCTATAGCAGACCCTCTGGGGTGACCTTTCTTCACTGTCCCTCCCAATTCCAAAGAGACAAAACAAGCAGATCCTCATTGAACATTCTCATCTCCTCCCTCCTGTAAACTCTTCAGACTTTTACCTATCCGCATTTCTAAGTGTCAGCTCCCAATATCCAGAAACACATTTTACCTGGAACTCCCAGTAGCCACAACTATCAGTGCAAAGAAAATTTCCTACTAGGCAAGACACAATCATCCCACTCTTAAAACATACAGAAAGTAAATAGAAACCAAGGAACAAAACACCCACCCAACAAAGGCAAACCAAATCCTCAGCACCTAGACCTTTAACCACCCCAATCCCAGATGCCTGGACTCCAGCATAAGAACATAATCAATAACAATCAGGGTGAGGTGTCTCCACCAGAGCCCTCCTCCCAAGCGAGCCCTGAATATTCCAACATAGATGAAGCACACACATACACAAGACTGAAACCACCTGTATTAAAATGATAGAGGTCCTTAAAGAAGAAAGTGATGTATTTCTTACAGAAGTCCAGAAAAACAGAACAGCATGAGGAAATGAATATACCTGTCAAGACCTGAAAATGGAAATAGAATTGATAAATTCTCAATAAGCCAATAAGTTAGTAAGTTCCCAAACTGCAGTAATTCTGGAAAAGAAAAATTTAGGAATGTAAACAGGAACTGCAGAGGCAAGCTTCACCAATAGAATATAAGAGATGGAAGGGAGAATCTCAGGCACTGGAGATACCATAGAAGAATTGGGTAAATCAGTCAAAGAAAATGTTAAATCTAAAAAACTTTTGACATATAACATCCAGGCTTTCTGGAACGATATAAATGCCAAACCTAAGAAGAATATATATAGAAGAAGAAGGAGGAGGAGGAAGAAGAGGAGGAGGAAGAGGGAGGAGGAGGAGAAGAAGAAGAAAGAAGGAGGAGGAGGAAGAGGAGGAGGGAGAAGAAGAAGAAGAAGAAGAAGAAGAAGAAGAAGAAGAAGAAGAAGAAGA